TGCCCTGGGACTCCCACCCTGCCCAGGCCTAGAGGCCCCTGGGAGAGCCACACTTGCTCCAGCGCACCAGACAGAGGGAGGCCAAGGGAAGCTGTGCCGGCCCCCATGCCCCTGACCCCAGCCGACCATTGGGCCCCACTCCTGGGCCCTGCAGGTTCAGCTGGGAAAGGCACAGGTGGTACAAGTTGCCCCAGGCCCATGAGGACCCACAGCCCAGCAGGGAGGACCCTGAAGTTGGGTGGTCATCTCGTCCCCCCAGCAGCCCCACACCTCACCCGAGAGGCCCACAGCTGGGCAGCCCAGGGCCTTGCCCCGGCAAGGCTCAGACCAGACCTCCCCAAAGCCCTTGAAGGTTGGTCATCTGCCCTCCAGATAAGTCTGGGACACGAGGGCCATGCCTGCTTCCCAGGTCAGAGAACTCATTCACAAGGTGCGGGCAGTGTTTGTGGAGACGCTGGACGAGCTGGGCTGGATGGACGAGGAGTCCAAGAAGAAGGCGCAGGAGAAGGTACATGGCTCGCAGAGGCCAGGGCAGCCCCGACTGGATCTGGGCACGGGCAGCACTGCCCCGACAAAGCCGCCTGACAGCCCCCATGGGGAGAAGGCAGCCCTGGGAGGCACAGACAGGACCACTCGTCCACTGTGGAGCTGAGGAAAAGCAGGCAGGGTGGGAAGCTAGGCCTGGGACATCCACAGTGCCCCCCAGGAGCCAGCGGGGGTAGCAGTGGCCTCGGGAGTGAGGGTCAGACCCACCAGAAGCCCCTCTTTACCCAAGTGACAGACGGCAGCCAAGTGACCCCTCCAGGGCCCCTGCCCCCACCCAGGCCCCTGGCGGGCTGTTGGGCTGTAGGTCAGGTGGGCAGAGCCAGGCCCCTGGCGGGCTGTTGGGCTGTAGGTCAGGTGGGCGGAGCCAGGCCCCTGGCGGGCTGTTGGGCTGTAGGTCAGGTGGGCGGAGCCAGGCCCCTGGCGGGCTGTTGGGCTGTAGGTCAGGTGGGCGGAGCCAGGCCCCTGGCGGGCTGTTGGGCTGTAGGCCAGGTGGGCGGAGCCAGGCCCCTGGCGGGCTGTTGGGCTGTAGGTCAGGTGGGCGGAGCCAGGCCCCTGGCGGGCTGTTGGGCTGTAGGTCAGGTGGGCGGAGCCAGGCCCCTGGCGGGCTGTTGGGCTGTAGGTCAGGTGGGCGGAGCCAGACCCCTGATGGGCTTTTGGATTCTAGGTCAGGTAGGCGGAGCCTTCAATGCTCTGTCCCCATTAAACCTCCCCAGAGACTGCAAGGTGAGAGCCAAGTCCCGGAGTCCCCCAGTCCCTCACCCACAGGACAGGGATAACACAGCCAGGATGCCCTGGGCCGACCCCTCCCACAGTGGGGCACTCACTGACCGGCCCCAGGGCTGACCCCATACGCAGTGGGGCACCCACTGACCAGTCCCTCCTCCCCACTCAGGCCATGAGCATCCGGGAGCAGATCGGCCACCCTGACTACATCCTGGAGGAGACGGACAGGCGCCTGGACGAGGAGTATTCCAACGTACGCCCCTCACCCCAGCCCTAAACCGCCCCCTACACCGTGGACATGGGCCCTGATTTCCTGGGGCATCCTCTGTGCCAAGCCCTGCGCCCTCCTGCTGGATGCTAACATAGTTATCCTCACCGAGCCCTAGGGTGGTGGCTCCAGCACTACTCTCAGTGTACAGATGGGGAAACTGAAGCTTGGAGGGATGAGGGACTTGCTCAGAGTCACGTAAATGCTCACAGCCAGGGCTGCCCCACCCACCTGCACCCACAGCCAATTGTCCACGTGCAGACGCCTGGCGAGGCTTGAAGTCCTTCCCCAACCACCCGAGACCTCTCCCCTTGCCCCTCTGAGGGCCCAGCCCGAGCATCTGGCAGTGACTGCACCTCTCCCATAGCTGAACTTCTCAGAGGACCTGTACTTTGAGAACAGTCTGCAGAACCTCAAGGTGGGCGCCCAGCGGAGCCTCAGGAAGCTTCGGGAAAAGGTGGACCCAAATCTGTGAGTGGCATCGCTGGCACGGCATGGGGGGCCCACGGAGTGGCCAGGAAGGCATACAGGGCTACCTGCCAGGCGGGGAGACGATGCATGGCTGGGGTCCAGTGCCAGCTCAGGGGGGCAGTCACTGGGCCCATCTTCACCCTCTGCTTTCTGGGGCCCAAGTCGCCTCCTCCTCAGGGACCCCAGGAAGGAACCAGATATTGGGATAGGCCTCGGCCCCTCCTCTGGTGTGGCCGGGTTGGGCTGTGGTCCACCGAGGCAGAGAGAGCCCAGAGGGAGGGTCCCCGGAGAGGCGGCTCCCAGAGACCAGTTTGTCTATCACAGCTGGATCATCGGGGCGGCGGTGGTCAATGCGTTCTACTCCCCAAACCGAAACCAGATTGGTAAGTTCCTCCCCCTCCCCGTCCGCCCAAGCCTTTTGGTGCCAGAGTTGAAGGGCAGCTTGCAGCCCCCTGCCCATCCCTTTCTCCTGGGGGCACCCCAGCCTGTTCTCGGAATGCTCTCCTACATCACCCCTTGCTGCCCCCATGGGGAACATTTGCTCCCATGCCCATCAGGGGCTCAGGGAGGGACTTGGCAAGCGGCATGGAGCCTTTCCTGTGGACAGAACAGGATGGTGGGAGGAGGCCGGACTGAGGTCCTGGGTCTGCCAGGCATGAGCCCGCCCAGCCTCTGAACCTCCCTGTCCTCATCTGTAAATTGAGGGGGTCCTGACCTCTGCCTGCCTGTCTGTGGGATCAAGTGTGAGAACCCCTGGCGGTGCCATCCCTGAGCATGGCACACAGGAGATGCATCTGCTCACAGTTTATTCTTTGTCCCACCCTTGGGGACAGTGTTCCCTGCCGGGATCCTCCAGCCCCCCTTCTTCAGCAAGGAGCAGCCACAAGCCTTGAACTTCGGAGGCATTGGGATGGTGATCGGGCATGAGATCACGCACGGCTTTGACGACAATGGTGAGGGGCCGCCCCTCCAACCACACACGCCCTCCCCTCTCCGCAGAGAAGCAGCTGGGAAGGGGCCTGGGGGCGCTCCATGCAACCCCTTCGTGGTTTCAGTGGGGACACCGAGGCCAGGTCCTCAGGGAGCTGTGGGGGCAGAGCAGGCCTTGAATGCCAGGCTGGGGCCCTGTCTGGGGGCACTGACTCCCAGCATGGCGGAGGGGACCCAGGGACTCCAGCCCATGACCCTGACTCCACCTGGCACTGGGCACTTCCCTCCCACGGCCTGTGACATGGGGATGACGACACCGCCCAGCACAGCAGTGAAGCCCAGATCCCAGCCTGGGGAGCCTCTCCAGGCGGCCGGCATCCTCCGCCAGGGGAGTGTGCCACCCCCGCCATGGCCATGCTGACCTCTGCCCCTTGGTGGGGACTGCCCTGCCTGGGACAGGGGCCCCGGCTGGTTTTCCCCTGTGGCTCGGCCATCGGGACATTCCATGGGCAGCCCTGTGTCCCCAGGGACCACGTGCTCCCCTCACCTGGGGTTTACAGTTTGGGCATCACAAGAGGAGCCCTTAAACCATGATGCCTCCGAGACCACAGGACCCAGGCACTAGGCCCTAGCCTCAGGGGGTGGCATGGGAGACCACTGAAGCCCTCCCTCTCTGGGGGCTGTGTAGCCCCAGGCAGCTGCTGCTCTTTGGAGCCCGTGCCTGCTCAGACCATGGGCTTTCCGTACTGGGGCTGGCTGCAGGAGGGGCCAGGCACAGTGGTTGCCGTGGGGCTGAGCATAGTCAGCCAGGGGCATGTGGGCAGCCCTCCTCTGCCCCTGCCCAGGCCGGAACTTCGACAAGAACGGCAACATGATGGATTGGTGGAGTAACTTCTCCACCCAGCACTTCCGGGAGCAGTCAGAGTGCATGATCTACCAGTACAGCAACTACTCCTGGGACCTGGCGGACAAACAGAACGTGAGCACTGCCACCAGCACCGAGGCTGCAGGGGGACCGGATCCCCAGCCCCGGCCCTGAGGGAGAGGGGAGTCCGGGCAGGGGCTGCCTCAGTCCTGTCTCCTGTGCGCAGGTGAACGGATTCAACACCCTTGGGGAAAACATCGCCGACAACGGAGGGGTGCGACAAGCCTACAAGGTGGGGCCTGGCAGGGCAAGGTGGGGTCTGGCAGGGGAGGGGGTGTTAGCATGGCAGGGGAGGGGGCATCAGGGGCTCATTCAGGATGAGCACCATGCAGTGGGCTGCCTGGCCAGGGATCCCCCCTAGAGCCCAGTTCAGGGGTCTCTGAGTGACTGAAGTGGTGAGCACTCATCCATGGAGTGTGCGAGGGGCCCTTGCACCAAGTCCCTGCAGCAGCAGGACCCCCACAGGGGTAGGTCCTGGAGCCAGATCTCTGCTCTGCCCTGAGATCTGAGGGTTCTGGAGTCCAGGCTGGCAGGCCTGAGCCCAGCTCCCATCCGGTGCCTGCAGGCCTACCTCAAGTGGATGGCAGAAGGTGGCAAGGACCAGCAGCTGCCCGGCCTGGATCTCACCCATGAGCAACTCTTCTTCATCAGCTATGCCCAGGTGGCAGCCACAGTCCTGTTCCCACCATCCCCATGCTTCCCCACTCATCTCTGGAGGGCCCGCCCTGGGTTGCCTCCAGGGACCAGAACCCAGCGTGCAAAGCCCCTTGGGGGAAAAGCATGAGGGGTAGGGGGCGGGAGCTGGAGAGGATCCCAATGCTGATGGGAGGAGGGGGGCACCTGCTGGCTCCCCTCACCCCACCCTAGAAGGGGCAGCCTGGGGATAGTGGAGACCCTCCCCCACCCCTCCTGGCCACCCCATCTCCATCGCCTGTAGCCACACCCCCCCACACGCCCACAGGTGTGGTGTGGGTCCTACCGGCCCGAGTTCGCCATCCAATCTATCAAGACAGACGTCCACAGTCCCCTGAAGTACAGGCAAGTGCTCCCATACCCACAGCCCCTTTGCCACCCACAACCCCCTCACCCCCACCCCAGTGGCCTGTAAGAGTTAAAGAAGAAAGCACAAAAAGCGGCTCAGCAAAGACAGGTTTATTTTGAGAATCAACCTGAGAGGGGCTTCTGGCCAATTTCAGCCAAGAGCATTCTCTTACCGACTAAGGGTATTTAAGGGTTTAGGAAGGGGGAGCCTACCACAGGCTGGGAATGTTTCTGTGTGAAGGAAAGTTTTATTGCAGAATTGGAATATCTCTGGTTGTAAGGGAAGTTATTCTCGGGATTGGCATGTTTCTGGTCAGATGGGGGTTTATCTCACAGTTGAAATGTTTCTGGTCATACTGACATGAGCCATTAGGCTGATGTTTTGGGCTGGTTTTTAATCACGGGGAACTTAAAATGACCGTGTTTGTCCAAGATGGCAATGCTCCTGCTGTCACACCCGCCCACCCACAGGGTACTGGGGTCACTGCAGAACCTGGCCGCCTTTGCAGACACGTTCCACTGTGCCCAGGGCACCCCCATGCACCCCAAGGATCGATGCCGCGTGTGGTAGCCAAGGCCCCGCCGCACTGCGCGGCCCACGCCCACCCGCTGCTCCGAGGCATCTGTGCGGAGAAGGTGCAGCCAGCGGCGACCCAGCATGTGCCCCGGCCCGGCCGACCATGCCAAGCCTGCCTGCCAGGCCTCCGCACCTGGCCTAGGGTGCAGCCACCTGCCCGACACCCAGGGATGAGCAGTGTCCAGTGCAGTACCTGGCCCAGAGTCCCCTCTACGGACACCCGCGGGGCTCAGCGCCCCTGTCACAGCCCTATAGAGACGATCAACTGTGTCCTGCCCACCCTCCAAGGTGCATTGTCTTCCAATATCCACAGCTTCAGACTTGAGCTAAGTAAATGCTTCAAAGAAATCAGAGGCCTTGCTTGTCTGGGAGGGACCAGGGTGGGCAGACAGGTGGCAGTGGCCTTGGGCACAACAGCTGCCCGGGGATGGGGGGAGAATGACAGCTGGGAGCTGATGGGGAGGGAGCCAGTTCCAGTCAAGTCTCCTAGGGTCCAATGCCAGGGCCAGCAGTGACCAGGATGCCCCCAAGTGCCCCCCCCCAGGGACCACACATTCAGATGCGGGGAGCCCCGCTGGGGCGTCGGGGGACCCAGAGAGCTGCAGCTGGGAACCTGACATTTAGCTTTGTGTAACTGAAAACCAGAGGAGGGGCTGAACCAAAGGGACGCGGTGGGTCACCTGCTATGCATTTGTAAATGGCCACTGAGAGGGTGGGGTTGGGGCGGGAGGGGAGCCGGGAGACCCGCAGGAGCCCACAGCGGCCCCAGGTTTGGACCAGGGAGTGCAGGGAGGGCTGCTGTTATCACCGGCCTGCACGGGAGGGGAGGGCCTGAGCAGGCAGTCTGACCTGGGAGGTAAGGGGTTCTGCTCTGGGCCTGTTAGGATCCCCAAGGGAAGGTGGCCAGGAAGCTGGACATACCTAACTGGACTAAGACCCTCCCAGGCCGGCCGCCCCACAGGCCATCCCCAGCAGGTACAAACAATGATTCTGACATCAGTAAAGGGCCTTGGGGCAGGCTGGCCCATCACCTGAGAGTCTCCAGGGTCTACCCACCCCACCAGGTGGAATCAAGCCCAACTCTGCCCTGAAAACCCAACTCTCCTGTGTGGCTCCCACCAGACACGGCACTGACCCCGACCCCGCTGCAGCTGACCCCACACTCCTCTCCTGACGTGGGTTCAGGTCTGTCGCCTTTGAAGGGACTGACAGGGCAGTGAGGTTACCATCCCCAGTGCCCCACAGGCCAAAGGCCCAAGGTCTCCAGAGACACTCGCAAAGCAGGAAGATGACACCTGGGACTCACAGCTACCCTGCCCGCCCCGAGGGCCTCAACAGTGAGCGAGGCGGGAGCTATGGAGGATGCAGGGCTCGGCGCTTGTGAAGCAGTGCGTGGCCAGGAACTGCAGTGTTTTCTTGTTTTGTTTTGTTTTTTTGAGACGGAGTCTCGCTCTGTCGCCCAGGCTGGAGTGCAGTGGCCGGATCTCAGCTCACTGCAAGCTCCGCCCCCCGGGTTCAGGCCACTCTCCTGCCTCAGCCTCCCGAGTAGCTGGGACTACAGGCGCTGCCACCTTGCCCGGCTAGTTTTTTGTATTTTTTAGTAGAGACGGGGTTTCACCATGTTAGCCAGGATGGTCTCGATCTCCTGACCTCATGATCCGCCCATCTCAGCCTCCCAAAGTGCTGGGATTACAGGCTTGAGCCACCGCGCCCGGCCAGGAACTGCAGTTTTAACAGCTGGTTGCTGCCGGCGGATCAGGAGAGGTTCGGCATCCCGGCCCAGCAACTGCACAACGGTTCTTCCACGTGGACTTCCAGCTCACCCAGGGCAGCAGCCGCCGTCCACATCCTCAGAGGCCAGGGCCTTCGCCTCCCTCACACCTCCCTGTCACACTGCGGGGACAGCAGGGGCCCATGGGGCCGCTGGACACTGGACCAGGCAAATGCCTGAGAGGGTCCCCTCAGACAATCCCCAGCCCTCCCGAGGCTGAGAGGACAGGCCTCTCTCTCTGCCCACCATGTGTCGCCCCCACCTCTGAGGACAGCCTCGCGGTACCTGTCCATCCAGCCATGCTGCCCTCAGCCTGCCCCCCTCTGCAAGTGGGGTCACAGGAGCATCCACATCCCAGGACACAATTGGCATGACGCCCAAGGTGCTGTGACTCAGCTCCCAGCGAGGCCCAGTGCTCCTCCCAGGGGACCTGGGGGCAGGGCGTGGGTTGGCAGGCAGTGCCCCCAAGGCCTAGCTCACCTGAGGCGGGTTGCTGGCACAGACCTCCGCAGAGATGCCCAGGACCTGCAGGATGTGCTCCTGGGGGACATAATCGCCTGGGGACTTCTGAACGAAATGCAGCAGCACTTTGTCACCACCTGTAGCAGTGGGCAGGCAATCAGGGCGCCCCGAAGGCTGCCTGCACCTCAAAGCCACGTACCAGGAGAAGGGAAGGCGGGGCAGACCTGGCCGGCCATATCCCCCACTCAGCTACCCAGATGAGTGAGCTGTTCTGCCACAGCCCAGCTCAGCCCAGCAGACATGCAGAACCAGGCCACATTGCGGTGGAAGGGCTGTGATGAGATTGACAAGCCAGAGAGAGGGCCTGGGCTAGGCCACCAAGTTCAGCAAGGTCCTCCCTGAGGCAGTGGCCGGGGCCCCTCCCTCAACCCACCTTTGCTGACCACCAGCAGCCCTCCGCTCTGCAGCAGGTCCCCAGACAGGTTCCCCTGGATGCCAACAGCCTTGGCCTATCAGGAGTGGGCAAAGCCTGGGTCAATCCTAGAGGAAAGGCCCCTGGGAGCTCCCACCACCCCCCGGCCTGTACAGCCTTGACCCACACAAACCTTGGCAGCCACATCACGCACAGGCTTCCCCAGAGCCGCCGGGAGGATGCTCAGGCTGTTGTACCTGCGAAGACACCAGGTCGCTTGGCCAGACTCCAGAGAAGCCTGGGTCCAGAGCCTGCTCCAGTGTCCACAGACCAGTTCCTAGGTCGGGCCCCACCCCACCCCACCACTCACCTCACCAGGGCTCAGAGATGGCCCAGGCAGCTAGATCAGCAGCCAGCCTAGCCCACCGGCAGGTTGGACACCGAGCCCAGTGGCTGCTGGCCAAGGGCCCACAGAGGGTGCAGGGAGCATGGATGGAGCAGGCTGGGTGTGCTCAGGGATCTGGCTCAGCTGGCAACTGCCAAGCAAAGGAGGCAGTCTGTGGCACAAACACCAGAAAGCTAGGATGGCCCCTGATGGGGCACGAGGCTCCAACCTCCGAGGTGGTCTGGACACCGAGAGTAAGCCCTAGACAAGGTGGCTCGTTACAGTTGCCCAGCACCCAAGAGAAGGCCTGGCAGAAGGGCTGGTCGACAGTGCCACCAGAGCTGCCTTGTCAGCAGGGAGAGGAGGTGGCAGGGAGTGGTGGGCACCCCTGGGCCCTCCGCCCCATGCGACCTGAGGGTGCCCGTCCCCACTCACCGCTTGAAGCCCAGCTCCTTATAAAGCTGCTTGCTCTCGTCCAGGTAGAGCTCTGGAAAGCGGAAGCCACAGATGTGTGCCCCAGGCCTGGAACCAGCCCCCAACCCACTCACCACCAAGAATCACCCTCCTCCTTCTGACCCTCTGTTCTTCTGCCCACCTCCGTGCTCAGCCCACCCACCCAGGGCCGGGAGAGGTAAAACAGGGCTGAGTGACCCCCTCCCCTCAGAAGAGGGGCTGAGTCCCAGAGGTGACAGGTGGAACCGGCGAGGCAGAGCTCGCCCAGACTCTGCTGCTAGGCTCAGGTCTGTGCAGGGCATCACCCAGCCACCAGCTGCGGGGCGGGGTGGCAGGGAGAGACGAGGGACGCTGACCTGTGGACATATCAAGGCCACTCCAGGAGACAGAAGAGCCAGGGCTGGGCAAGAAAGGGCCCCGAACGCCCTGAGTTTAGGGAAGGGTGTCTGCGCCGCCGCGTCGGGGAACAGGACGCACCTCCCGCGAAGTAGCCGCCGTCCAGGAACTCCTGCAGACCCAGGGCCTCGGGCCCCACGCCCACCAGACGCACACCGTGCTGCTCCAGGAGCCCCGCGAGGCCGCTGAGGTCCCGGGCGATCCAGCGGCACACCACGCAGCCGAAGCGCCGCAGCCCGGCCACCACGCACGCACGATCCCGCCACAGGCTCCGCAGCTCCACGGCCTGCCAGGCGGCTGGGTCAGGGGCGCGCCCCGCGGCCCCCAGTCCCGCCCCAGCCCCGCGGCCCCCACCACCCCATCGCTGCCAGGGCGCCCGGGCAAGAGCCGGGGACGCACCCACCGTCCTGCGCTCGCCCGGTCTCACCTCCCCGGTCACCGCATGCTTCAGGATGCACGCGCCCACGCGGGCAAGGTCCACCGTGGTCATGGCCGCGGCCGCCCGCCCCGGTTCCCAGCTCCCCGCTCCCGGCTCCTGGTTCCCAGATCCCCGCTCCTGGCTCCCAGATCCAGCCCCAGGCCCCGCCTCGAGATGCCCCGGCCACGCCTCTCTCGCGCCGCCGAGGCCCCGCCCTTTCGGGCTCGTCTCCGCCCCGGGCCCCCCCACAAGATGGCCGCAGAGCGCCCAGCCACGCCTCTGGCCACGCCCCTCCGCACCCCGAGCCCTGCTCCGCCTCCTCGGATTCGCCCCTAGTCACGCCTTGCTTCCCCTCCCACTCCAGGCCAAGCCTCGAGATCGCGGCGCCAAATCCCGCGTCCGCCTGCTTGGGTCCCTCCCGCCTCCTCAATCCGGGCCTTGCTGGATGGTTGCTGTCCCGCGTCCCGGTCCCGCCCCTAGCCCCGCCCCAGCCCCGCCTTCCCGTTGGGCCCAGACTTGGACTCCGTCGGCCATTGGCGCAGCAGGCGGAGCTGGGCGGTGCGACCCTCGGCGCGCGATGCGCCTGTGCGGAATGCAGCGGGAGGCGGGGCAGGCTCACGGTGGTCCCGGGGGGTGGCTGGGACGGCGCACCCAGGGGTGGTCCAGGGAGCAGCGGGGGTCTCCCTGCGGGCTCGCGCGAAACTGGGCTGGATTCAAGGTTGAGGGGAGAGGGTAAGCGAAGGGGTCGCGGGCATAGGGGACCGCGGGCCGGGGTCTCCCGCGGGGCGGGGGTCCCAGCAATGGGGGTGCGAGGGCTTAGCCTTTCCACGTGGTCTGGTTTTCGCTTGAAAATCCCCGCAAATGCGGCGGTATCTCAATTATACATGGACGCGTTGTCTTGAATCATAAAATACTGTTCATGTCGTGCCGGTTGCATATCAGCTTTTAACCCCCCAAACCTTGGGGCGAAATGGACCCCGGGGAGATAAACACAGCTCCCAGAAGTGCACTGCGGGTCAGGAGCCTGGCAGATGCGTCCTGTTCCTCCCCCACTGCAGCCCTGTGATAGCGTTTATCACCGAGTTGGGATGAGGGCCGGGTCACAGGTTCACCCAGCCTGGGCTCCCAGCTGGGCGGGCCCGGCCTGGCAGAGTCTGTGCTCCTGGCACGGGGCCTCACTCCCCAGGACAGTTCCAGGGGCCTGGGCGGGCTGGAGAAGGAAGGGGGAGCCCCCACACTGTATTCCAAATAATGGGAGGCCCGGGGGGGTGCTGCTGCCCTCGCCTGTGCCCTCGCCCTGGGGTGGTGAAGGTCCAGACAGGGAAACGGAAGTCGTTCCTATGTCAGGGCAAAAGGCAAAACAAGGAAGGGGAAGCCCGAGGAGGGAGGAGCTGTGGCAGCCCCAGAGCCCAGGAGTGCAGCCCCCAGAGACCAGGGCTACCCCTCTACAGTGTCGGACTGTGCAGGAGGGGGCGCCTCCACCGTCTCGGGCTGGTCAGGAGGGGCCCTCTGCTGTCTGGGGCTGTGCAGGAGGATGCCCTTCTACCGTCTCGGGCTGGGCAGGAGGGGCCCATCTATCTTCCCCGGCTGCGCACGAGAGGCCCTCCCCCGTGTTGTGCTGTGCAAGCAGTGAGCAAGCGCCGCCTCCTTGGGAGCTGGGATCCCAGACGGGATTCAGCCATTTTCAGAGACCTACCGAGAAACAAGAATGCCAGATCAATTCCTCGCCTGGCATCTCCCACCAGCGCCATCGCTGCAGGAGCCTCGCAGGAAGCCAGCGGGCAGAGGAGAGTGGGGAAGGAGCTTGCAGCCTCCCAGCGCCAGTGCTGCGGAGCAGAAGGTGGCTGGGAGGCCGAGAAGCCGTAAGAAAACAGCAGGGCCAGCCCATGTGGCGCTCAGATACATGCTGTGTGTGTTTGCATATGTAGGGCCTGGAAAAACTCCACCTCCATCCTTTTGAGGTCCTGGCTGAGCCCAAGAGTTAAATCAAGATAAGACAGATCATCATGCCAACGTATTTGATTCAGGTTGGATGTGGCTCGGGAGCCCTCCTAAGGAAATGAAGACTCAGTGAAGCGGCCTCAGTCACTCGTGTGCTGAGTTGGACGGAGAACAGTGAGGTTCCAGGAAGCAGCTAGATGATGTGAGGGCCTGAAAAGGTGAGAGGCATTTTATCAAGGACTGTACAGCATTTGCTGGTTCTCAGCTTCTCATACTTGAGGATCCGAGCTTTCTAGTGTAGGGAGAGCATCTTTCGCCCGGGAATTTCATCTTCTGCTTTTAAGAAACACAAGAGAGATCAGAATGGTCTTTTTGCACCTGTTTTTTTTTAGCTGCCTTTAATTCCAAATAGTGACTGCCAGAGCAGCCTGTATTGGGGTGGCACCTTCTTAACTCTGCATGCTGTGCATAACTGGCACACATCATTTCAAGTAAATAGACAGGTTTGCTTACTTTTTACTCAGGTGCAACGTAATTCAGAAAAGTGTAGACATGCTCAGTAGGCAGCTCCTTCTACCTGCCTGTCGACTTTCTTTCATCCATGACGTATTGGTCGGCTCTCGCTAGGCTGTGCTGCTGAAACAACTCGCAAGCCTGGGTCAATCACAGCAACCAAGTTTCCCCTCCCACTCACGTTTCTTGTTGGCCACGGGGTGGCTCAGCTCCTGATGCCTCCTTCATTCTGGGGTCCAGGCTGAGCAAGCTGTGGCTCTCTGGAACATGCCGTTCTCCTGACCAAGAGAAGACACGGAGGAGAGATGGAGAAACCATGCCACACTCTCCCAGTGGCCATACACAACTGGGATGTGTCGCTTGCACTCCCATGCCACTGGCCAAAGCAAGTCATGTGGCCAAGGAGGCTGTCTGAGGGGCAGGGAAGAGCGCTTCCTCCTCCAGGTGGTGTCAGCTCTGGGACTGGGTTTTAGCTTTTCTTACAAGGGAAGAGCTGGCCCGTTACTGCAGCAGGGATGCTGACAGAACACATGAAACTCCAGGGTCAGAGACAAAGGACTTTGTCATTCACGGCATGGCAGGCAGGTGCTCACCTGTGTGTTTGGTCTTATCCCCTTGCCCCCAAGTTCCACGGACACCATGCGGGTAGGCCTGGGTGGGCGCTGCACAGTCAGTGAGTTTGCATGGCCACTGAGGAGCCCTGCACTGGGGGAGTCGGCTGTTTCTGCAGCAAGCAGTGAGCAAGCTGCTCTTTGTCCCTCGAGGACTCTCAGGGCAAACCACCCTGAGAAATGGGGGAGGGTACTCAGGGCCTGCGTTCCTGGCAGGCCCTGTGAGAGGTGGGGGGCACGAGACACTTGTGGAGGACTGCCCTCTTAACAGGAGAAGCTGCCAGTACCAGAGGCCAAAGGGAGTTACTCAGAGATTTCACTGGCATCCCTAGGCTGCCTGGTGCCACATATGTGAAAACAGTCATTTCATTGAAGCTTGTCCACTCAGTAGCTATTGAAGCGGGGAGGGTGTCTTAGTCTATTAAGGCTGCTATTTTAACAAACAAAAAAATATAAACTACCACAGACTGGGTGGCTTTTAAAGAATAGAAATTGATTTCTCACATTTCTAGAGGCTGGAGGTCCAAGATCAAAGCGCCGGCATATTCAGGGTCTGGCGAGGACCCCTTCCTGGTTCCTAGATCGCTTCTTCATGCCGTGTCCTCACAGGGCGGAAGGCACGAGGGGGCTCTCCAGGACCGCCTTTTTAAAGGCACGAACCCTGGCCAGGCACAGTGGCTCACACCTGTAATTCCAGCACTTTGGGAGACTGAGGTGGGCGGATCACCTGTGGTCAGGAATTCAAGACCAGCCTGGCTAACATGGTGAAACCCTGTCTCTACTAAAAATACAAAAGTTAGCTGGGCGTGTTGGCAGGTGCCTGTAGTCCCAGCTACTCGGGAGGCTGAGGCAGGAGAATCACTTGAACTCAGGAGGTGGAATTTGCAGTGAGCCAAGATCGCGCCACTGCATTCCAGCCTGGGCGACAGAGTGAGACTTCGTCTCAAAATAAAATAAAATTAAATAAATAAATAAGGGCACTAACCCATTCCTGAGGGCTCCACCCTCACTAAGCACCCACCTAAGCACATGCCAAAGCCCCACCTCATAATGTCATCGCATTAGGGATTCGGTTTCAGCATATGAACTGGGGGAGGGCACACAAACGGGGGAAATTGGCTCCACTGTGTGAAAATTGTCAATACCAAGGCAGAGTCACTTACGTCAGGACCCAAGCAAAACGCAGCTGGGAAGCCTCAAGGAAAGGTTTCTCATGCCCAGGTGCCTACGATGAGAACTGTTGCAGGGACTCCGACAGCACACAACATTCCAGATCAGCTCCTCCTATGAAGACGCCTCCCCAGCAACAATTGTGTTACCCGTGAGTGATCACTAACCCTGCAATAAGCTCCTGTACCCAGTGAAGTCTATTCCAAAACAATCTGTGTAGACTTCCTCATCTCACCCATAAAAGAAAGACACACGTACGGTCCCCTACAGCATGCATATCCCAGATTGCAATCCCCTGCCATCCCCCAGTGAACTTCGTTTGGGAGAGCCGGTCTCTCTGTTATTTATTTTACACGGACAAGTTGCAGCATCGTGGCCAGCAGCAGAAGTCCTACTAGAAGTCCTACTAGGCTTCTTGAGTCTGTGGGTTGGTATCTTTCATCAGTTTGGGAATTCTTCTATTTTGTTTATTTGTTTGTTTGTTTGAGATGAAGTTTTGCTCTTGTTGCCCAGGCTGGAGTGCAATGGCTGGATCTCAGCTCGCTGCAACCTCTGCCTCTTGGGTTCAAGCGATTCTCCCACCTCGGCCTCAGGAGTAGCTGAGATTACAGGCACCCACCACCATGCCCAGCTAACTTTTGTATTTTAGCAGAGACAAGGTTTCACCATGTTGGTCAGGCTGGCCTTGAACTCCTGACTTCAGGTGATCCACCCACCATGGCCTCCCGAAGTGCTGAGATTACAGGCGTGAGCCACCGCACCCAGCGGGGAATTCTTTTTTTTAACCACTGTCTTACAATGATGTCTCATTCTTTCCTTCCTTCCTTCCTCTTATTCTGGGAAGCCCAATACACATATATTAGATCTTTCAACTAATGCGTCTTGTTGAGTCAGAGTCATGTGAGTCTCCTGTTCTGTGTTGTGCTTTTGTTTCCCACAGGTATTTCGGTGCCTGTTTGCACCGTTTCTGTTGCCCTGTCTCTGTCTCCCCTCCATGGTCCACCTGCCACCAAGTCCAGTCTGCCGTCACCCATCTCATGAGGCTGACCTGCAGCCCTGGGATGTCCATTTGGTTCTTTCATATAGGTTCCAACCAGCTGTGGAATTCTCCATCCGGAGATCCCATTAGACGGCATTTCCTGTTTTTAGTAACACATTAATGAGTTATTTTAAAATACCTGTCTACTGACACTAACTAAACAAATAAAGATACTAACCCATGTATTCCTGAGAGCTCCACCCTCACTGCCCACCTAAGCACATGCCAAAGCCCCACCTCATAATGTCATCGCATTCGGGATTCGGTTTCAGCATATGAACTGGGGGAGGGGACACAAATGGGGGAAATTGGCTCCACTGTGTGAAAATTGTCAATATCAAGGCAGAGTCACCTACATCAGGACCCAAGAAACGCACATCTGAGTTTCTGCTCCTGTTGCCTCTGTTTTCTTTTTATTTTTTATTTTTTTGAGATGGATTCTTGCTCTGTCACCAGGCTGGCATGCAGTGGCACAGTCTCAGTCACTGCAACCTCCGCCTCCCAGGTTCAAGCGATTCTCCTGCCTCAGCCTCCCAAGTAGCTGGGACCACAGGCACGCACCACCACACCCGGCTAATTTTTGTATTTTTAGTAGAGACAGGGTTTCACCGTGTTGGCCAGGCTGGTATTGAACTCCTGACCTCAGGTGATCCACCCTCCACGGCCTCCTAAAGTGCTGGGATTACAGGCGTGAGCCACCGTGCCTGGCCAGCCTCTGTTTTCTTTTGATTATGGCACACACTTTCCTGCTTCTTCTCATGTTTACATCTCTGTTCTAGCCCTGGGCCCTGCAGACGTTAGGGGAGGTGTGCCTAGTACACAAACACACATGTGTGCACAAAGATGGGTCACTGTCAGGGCGTGGGGAGATCGAAGGACCTGAATCAGACCAGGGCTTGTTCAGATGCTAGCTCTGGCACCGCCCAGCTGGGTCACCGTGGGTAAGTCACCACCTTGTCTAAGCCTCAGTTTCCTCATCTGTAAAATAGACTCTAGTAACCGCCTTTGCCATCCGCACACTCAGTTGGCCACTCTGGCTGGCTCACCTTGCTTCTGAGGAGCAGAAATCACAGCTCCGCTGTGGCTGAGAGGATGCTGGACACACTCAGTTGTCGGCCACTCTGGCGGGCTCACCTTGCTTCCGAGGAGCAGGAATCACAGCCCCGCTGTGGCTGAGAGGATGCCGGAGCACTCCAGCTCCACCCCAGTGGCCCCTGGCCCCCGCCATCCTGCCCATCCTCCTCCAGCAAAGCCCAGGATGTCCCCATGAGACGCCTCAGGGACTCAACCAGGTGGGCAGGCTGCAGAGGACCCCTGGGAAAGGGCAGCTGTTTCCCCAAGTCTTGATCGACTTTCTTTTTTATATTTATTCATTTATTTATTTATTTATTTATTTATTTATTTTTGAGGCAGGATCTGGCTCCCTCACCCAGGCTGGAGAGCAGTGGAGCAATCTCAGCTAACTGCAGCCTCTGCCACCCAGGCTCAAGCGACCCTCTCACCTCAGCCTCCCAAGCAGTTGGGACTACAGGTGTGTTCTGTCTGGCTAAGTTTGTATTTTTAGTAGACACGGGGTTTCACCATGTTGGCCAAGCTGGTCTTGAAGTCCTGACTTCAAGCAATCCACCTGCCTCGACCTCCCAAAGTGCTGGGATCACAAACTGAGCCACTGTGCCCAGCCTAAAAATTATTTTGTAATTGTGATAAGATATACGTAATGTAAAATTCACCATGCAGGAGCATTTTAAGATCAGTTCAGTGGCATTACATACATTCACATTGCTGCAGCCATCACCACCATCTATCTCCAGAATTTTTTGACAATCCTGAACTGGAACTCGGCACCTATGAAATGCTAACTGCCTCCCCCAGCCCGGCACCCACCACTCTACTTCCTCTCTATAAATTTGACAATTGTAGGCTCCTCATAGAAGTGGCATCATGGCCGGGCGCCGTGGCTCACGCCTGTAATCCCAGCACTGTGGGAGGCCGAGACGGGAGGATCACGAGGTCAAGAGATGGAGACCATCCTGGCTAATACGGTGAAACCTCGTCTCTACTAAAAACTACAAAAAACTAGCCGGGTGAGGTGGGGGGGCACTTGTAGTCCCAGCTACTCGGGAGGCTGAGGCAGGAGAATGGCGTGAACCCTGGAGGCGGAGCTTGCAGTGAGCTGAGATCCGGCCACTGCACCCCAGCCTGGGCAACAGATCGAGACTCCGTCTCAAAAAACAAAAAAAGTGGCATCATAATGGCGTTTGTTTTTTATGAATGACTTAAGTCATGTGGCGTAAATTCCTCAACATCCATCTATAGTGCAGCCTGTGTCCGAATTTCCTTTTCAAGGCTGAGCACCCTTCCACTGGACCTTTCAGCCACATTTTCCTTATTCTTGTACCTGTTGATGGACTTTTTCGTGGCGTCCACATTCGAGCTCCTGTGAACGCTGTGGCTGTGAACCTGGGTGTGCAAATATGTGCTCAAGTCCCTGCTTTCAGTTCTTGGGGATCTATGCCCAGAAGCGGAATGGCTGGATCACGTGGTCATTGCAGTTTTAATTTTTTGAGGAACTGCCCTAATGTTTTCCACAACAGCTGCACCATGTCACATTTCCGCCAGCAGTGCACGAGAATTTTAATTTCTCCCCTTCCTCAGCAACAATTATTCCTCTCCATGGCTCACGCACTTTGGGAGGCCGAGGTGTGTGGATCACCTGAGGTCAGGAGTTCAAGACCAGCCTGGCCAACATAGTGAAACCCCATCTCTACTAAAAATACAAAATTAGCGTGGCATGGTGTCAGGTGCCTGTAATTCCAGCTACTTGGGAGACTGAGGCAAGAGAATGCCTTGAACCCGGGAGGCAGAGGTTGCAATGAGCCAAGATCTCACCACTGCACTCCAGCCTGGGCAACAGAGCGGGACTCTGTCTAAAAAAAAAAAAAAAATCTTGCTCTCTGTATTGGGGGCTTTAAAAGAAGCCGTCCATCCCGCTGGGCCTGAGGTGGTCTCCCTGTTGTTCTGATTTGCATTTCCCATTTCCCTAACGCTTGGTGGCACTCAGCCTCGTTTCATGGGCATGATGGCCATTCGTGTGTCTTCTGTATTCTAGTCCTTTTCCATTTTTTAATCCAATGGTTTCTCTCTGATGTTGTTGGGGTGTAGGGTTCTTTACATATTCTAGACGGAATGCCTGTTCTGATACACTTTCTCCTAGTCCATGCGTTGCCTTACATTCTATTAATTCATGTTTATAAAGTCCCATGTATCTATTTTACATGTTTCTGCCTGTCTTTTTCCTGTCATACCCTAGAAATCACTACCAAGTTTAACATCAAGAGGCTTGTGTTTTCCTTTGAGGTCTCAGAGTTTTAGGTCATACACGTTGAACAAGCACCAGCACCAGCAGAGTGGAGCTGCCACCAGGGGTCACAGCCAAGCGTCTGGAGCGCAGTTGTGCACCGACCAGGGAAGGCCCAGGCCTGGGTGGGCCTTTCCGCAGGATCCTGGAATGTTGCTTAGGGGAGGCTGAGACCAGACTGGCAGTCACCTGTCTGGGAAAGCACCAGGCCCTGCGGAAGTCCCCATGGTGACAGTCACGTCCTGGCCACGTGAGCGAGTGTGGGGGAGGGAGGGCAGGGAGGCGGAAGTCCTGGTATTTTCCTGCAGACTGGCACGGGCAGGACCTGAGCGGCCCGAAGCCGCGAGGCGCTGCCACTGCTCCTTCTGTGCCCAGTGCAACCCCAGCTCATGGGGTCTGGGCTGCCTGTGATCCCGTGCCCCCCACTTCACACTCAGGGTTCTGGCTTCCCTGCTGTGAGCCTGTCTCTCCTCTGTGGGAGGGGCCAGCCTGAGCAGCCATCCCTGTGCCCACTGCCCAGCATAGAGTGGGTGTCTCATAAATGTGGGCTGAACAGAACCTGCCCCTGGGGCCTCCCTCACTGCTAGGCATACAGCAGGTGCCTCATAAATGTGGGCTGAACAGAGCCTGCCCTTGGGTCCCCCAACTTCCAGACATAAAGTAGGCACTTTATAAATGTGGGCTGAACAGAACCTACCCTGGGGGCCTCCACTTCCCTTTGATGGGAGCAGAGAACCTTTGCCGGGCAGTGGCCACTCAGTGCCTGGGACAGGTGCCCCTTTCTCCCACCCTGGCCTATCTCGGGACATCTGAGGGAGGGCAGGGCTGTGCCCCCCACTTCACACTCGAGGGTCTGGCTGCCCCACCTGTGACCTTGTCTCTCCTCCGTGGAAGGAGCTGCGCCGTCTTTTTCACTCTCCACGATGACCA